GCTATTTGGCAACACTTAAACCAGTATTTGATAATGCTGAAGCTCATAAAAATTCTTAACCCCAAGATGTATTTTGATTTGAATACCATTGTTAATAGTAAAATTAAAAATCTATCAGCAAAGAGTCTAAGTGAACATGCTAGATCAGATGGGTTAACATTGCAAAAAGTTAAACAGATTATTTCCCACCATACTATGCAGTGCAATAATCTGGAAAAACTTTTGCAGCATATTTTTTTTTATAATTCAATTTTTTTTGGCTCTGCAGGGTGGTGAATATCATGATCTTCAGATAGATAACTTTGTAAATAGGTTTGAGGGAGGAATTGATGTGAAATTGTATCGATCAAAAATGAATTAGCGAGGATTTGGGGATCACGACGGGCAAGCTAAGGTTATTAGTTTGCCAAATATTAAGTGTATAATTGATAACTAAGAATTCTATTTTGTTAAACATCCAGTTACAAAGTTGAAAAGTTTTTATTTGAAACCAGTTCTGGCAAACACTGGTAAATATCTGTTTTAATTCGGGATTTTTTGATTTATTTGTACTAACTTTTTTTATTTTCAGTTGAGTTTAGTGGCCAATGGTTCTATGGGCAAGCAATAGATAAAAAAAAATTAAGAACCTATTTTCAAGATATTTGTAAATCCGTGGATATACAATTGGTAGTTGTAGTATATCTAATCATTCAGGTCAAAAAACTGTAGTTCAAGTATTGAAGGAACTTGGATATTCTGATGCTATAGTCATTTCAATTACAAGGCATAAGTCACAGAAGGGTCTGGCCACATATGAACGACCAAAGACCATTATGTAGCAAGAGGGTCTCAATGGATTTTTCAGGGCATTGACAAATATAAATAATGAGGAAAAATCATTTAAAGGTATTTATTCAATTTGGAGTTTAAGTTTTTTATTAAAATTTCATTTATTTCATTTTTTTTTTTTATTTTAGAAAATAAAGCACAACCAGATCCTATGAAGCATCCAAGTGGGAACTTCAGACAGGCAAGTTCGATGATATCACTTGCTAGTGAGCTTGCAAATGATATCAAAGATCTTGAAGTATCATCAAACATCAATACAGATGAACCACCAGAAGCAACCAGGGCCGATGAACCACCAAGAGCAATCGCTAGTAAACCATAGGGAGAAACTGCAGCTACAAAGCCACAAACACAAAATGTGTTGGGCAAAATTAGACATCAAGGCATTTGCCAGAAAAATAGACAAAATGAACAGAATGAAAGTAGCTATAAGGAATTTATTGAAAAATTCCTTACCAGGAATACATTTAATAATTGTGTTTTTCATTTTTAATTTGCTAAAAATGTAAAATGTAAACTAGTATTGTAATGAAATAAATATAATTGTTTAGTGTTAAAATTGCATATAATCATGATATTTTGGCAATATATGAATATTTGGCATTGTGCCAAAATCAGTCAAAAAATAACAGTACAATGCTGCGCCATGATCATATGAGTTTGCCGGATAAGTATACAATATTGGGCAAAAATTGTATACTTAACTGATAATCTAATGCTTTTTAACCAATCAACTGATTATTAGACATACTAGTAAAGTATATAATTTTTTATAAAATATTATCGATAATCGTATCTACATATAAAAGTCAAAATTTATTAAGTTCATTGATATTTTAATTGATTTAAGTTGTTCTCTTGAATAACTTTACTGAAGATATAAATATTGATTAACCTAGTAAAATTTTGTCTTTGGCGCTTGATAACTTTTTATATTATCTGACCAATAAAATTACTTTATATGTAAATGACCTAAATGATCTAATGACCCAGATGACCAGGTCATTTACACAAATGACTTGGTCATTTAAATTTTGAGTAAATGACCTGGTCATTTACCATCCCTGCTCCGTAGTAGGGATGGCACATGATTTAAACCACAATGATATAAATTACTGATTTTTTATTTAAATCAATTTAAAGCTGATTTAAATCTTTTATTACGTAATGTATTTAGAAGGTGTAAATATAATATTTTTCGGATCGCAATGGCAATGGTTTTTAAAAAATTGCACCCAAAGACTCGGTGTTTAAATTTAAATATAATGTATTACGTAATAAAAATCAAATGCTTTAAATCATTCGTAAATCATTTTTAAATCATAAAAATTGATTTAAATCATCCCTACTCCGTAGCATTATACTGTAGCGCTTTGCAAAAAGATGTGACCTCATGATTTTTGTGATGATGAACGAGGAGATCCTAAATTGTCTATTAATTCACAGATCTCTGATTTTCATACGACATTGTGATCTGCAGAGGTCACATCTTTTTGGCAAAGTGCAATAAGTTAAACTCTTTAATACAATCATCCATACTTGTCTATCCTTGTACAATCTTCTGAGGTTCTCATGTCTGGCACCAAGCTTCAGGATATTACATCAGCTTAAATTTGCACACTTTTCGTTTCTACTACAGTATCTCTTTTAGAGTTAAATTCGTAAATTAATTTTTTTTATTGATTTAATTGGCCAATTATTATAGAACCGACGGGTTGATTCACGGGACCCGACGGCAAGGTTGGCAATGGATACACTCCATTGAGAAAATTATCAGTGGAGCCCAATGGAGTAAATGGAACCAATGATACTAATAGAGAATCTAATGGAACCAGCGGAGAACTCTGTGGACTAATGGCTCTAATAGAAAACCAATGAAGAATAGGGTTCTAATCTCTAGCCACATATACTGATAGCTTGACCTGTTGATGAACAGGTCAAACAGATCAATGTCAATGGAGTTTGTTGACTTTCATTGGCTCCATTCAGAAATTATTCTCAATAGAGCAATGGAGCAATGTCAATGGAGTTGCTCTCCATTTGTCCCAATGGATAAATATGCCAACCCTGCTCGACGGGTAAAGCATAGAGGGCTTTAATTCTGATCATTAAATGTATCGTTACATATATATTGCATATATCATCTGACTTTAAACGAATTGTATACCATGAAAACGAATTGTAGAATGAAACCGAATACATATTCACAAACTACACTTCTCACATTATATGCGGTAAAAATAATTCGGAGAACAGCGAAGTAATTCGGAAGTTAGCTACGGGGTGTACTTTTGTCATATAAGCTAAAGCAGTTCAGTAATCGGCGAGGTAAATTACACTTTGGCTAATAAGTGTTACTATTTTTTTTTTTTAACTTATTAATTTACAAATAATGATTCAAACAGTATTGCTAATAGTTGTTTCTCTTTAAATATTTTTTCTGAGTATAGATTATTCGACAATTTTGTTGCAGCTAGGGTTAATGCATATAATATGGCAATGCACGGATTAACTGTACGTAAATATACACGGGACAGTACAAAGGAAAACACGTTCACGGCACGTAAAAAGGCGCGGATTCCGCGCACCAATGCACGTACTGACGTGCATTTTTACGTGCTTTCCTGTGCTTTGTCTCATATACATTTACGTGCAGAAAACGTGTGATAATGTATATATTTACGTGCATCGTTTCTGCGAAAGTCATAAGTCGAAAAAAAACAAAAAGTATCAATAAAAATGTCACCTAAAGAATTTTGAAAAAAAAAGCTGAGAAAATATTGAAATGTCATCAAAGGATTTTTAGAAAAGTTTATTGATACGTGTTGTAGCGTCAAATGTTAACAAAAATAAAAAAAAGATGTACGTATTTACTTACAGGTCAAATATGATTGGTTGTTTATAGTTTCATTAACGATTGTGCACGAAGTGCGCAGAAATTATATAATCGTCAAAAATCTTGACGATTGCATAATGCACAATCGTTAAGATTTTTGACTAGTATTCGGGTTGTGGTTATGGCCACCCGGGTGGATGCGGACGGGTCAACCCGCGGATTACCCGTCAGCAGGGTTGGCAATGGAGCTCAATAGAGCCAAATGGAGCTGCGAATGGAGCCAATGGATACTAGTTTTTTATGAGCTCCATTCACGTAACCATTTAACTCCATTGGCTCCATTCCCAACCCTGCCCGTCAGCATAGAGGGCTTTCATTACTGCATTATGATTACTAATTTTTGTAGATCATTTTGTGACGTAACAAAATTTGATTGGCTAATAGAAAATAAGTTCACTGTAAAAAATTCGTTAATAAAAGAATATTAAAATTATAAATTTTTTATTCATAATGATAATATTTAATGCATGAATCCCAATAGTTATTGTCAATTGTGCATCTAGTTAAACTTAATTTAAAAAAATAACATCTTTAAGCTTAACAATTTATTGATACAATTACATATGTAGATAACCTTTATTGACTAAATCGCTTGCTACTTTATAGTATGTACAGTTAAATAATTTATCAAAATAATACGTAATAAAATAATTACAGAATGTCAATTATTAATAGGTAGAATATATGCTTATAGAGAATATGTACAGTACGTATAAAAAAAACAAAATTAACTACAGAAATATTGCGTATGTTCTATACTACTCTATATTTAATATGCTATAACTCTTAAAACTTGATCAAATAATCTATACTCAGAAAAAAATATTTAAAAAGAAACAACTATTTAGCAATACTGTTTGAATCATTATTTGTAAATTAAAAAAAAATAGTAACACTTATTAGCCAAAGTGTAATTTACCTCGCCGATTACTGAATTGCTTTAGCCTATATAACAAAAGTACACCCCGTAGCTAACTTCCAAATTACTTCTCTGTTCTCTGAATTATTTTTACCGTATATAATATGTAGTTTGAGAATATGTATTTGTTTTCATTCTACAATTCGTTTTCATGGTATACAATTCGTTTAAAGTCAGATGATATATGCAATGTATATGTAACGATGCATTTAATGATTGACCAATCAGAATTAAAGCCCTCTATGCTCGGGCGACCCGGTCGGAACTTTTTTGCTATGCCACAGTGCCGGGAAATTTTTAGGATCTAAATTTTATTGGGATTGGCTCGCCACTTTTGCGCCATGGCGACACAACCTACTTTGCACCAACCACCCTATGGCAGGGTTGGCAATGGAGATCAAAAAGCTAGTATCCATTGGCTCCGTTGGGCCCATTACCAACCCTGCCCTATGGTGAATATTTAAATGGAAGAGAAGTTTAGCTTACGAAATACAGTATGTATGCATCTAATTTTAATTTTAATTTTTCATATGGTCAATGCTTAGCGAATATTCTATCAATGCACCTATTAATGATCACAATCGCTATAAAATAATACAACTGTACACGTCAAATACGTCAAATAAGCTAAGCATGTTCAGGACAGCATAATATATTAACGGCAAAGTTTTTACATAATAACAGATAAGTAAACATTCTTAAGAAGTTCATTAACAGTAAAGTGTAAAACATAAGATTTTATTCATTTTTAAAATTTTATCATTATGATAAGTACAAAATACTGATCTCAACAAGTTCATTTGTATAAATGACTAGTTCGCTTGCCCAATATATATTAAAATTTTGATCTTTGGCGTGTCTATCGATGGCGCAGTACTTTTATATTCGAGAAAAGTCTAACTTATGCTTTTTTAGTGTTATCAGTCATTATTAGTTTTAGAACGATATAAAAAATTTTTTGCTATGGCGTACGATAATATGTATTATGTTTGTACGTACGTACGTACGTACGTAGTGATTAATAATGACTAATTACGGCTGTCCAATATATTAGTAATCGACGCTGCGTGATTTGCGGGAGTTTTAGGCCCCGTACGGGATTTCAATTAGCCGGTATCGGTATATGTCAGCATAATTTTGGTCAAATGATCATTAACAAATGATGTGCATAATTTTGGTCATGCATAATTCTAGGTAGAATTCATACTTGTGCACATATGGCCAAAGTGGCTTAAGTTATTAATGGTTTGTAATAGTAAATCCGAATTATTTTACAAAGTTTATTCGCTTATTAATGCAAAGAAAATTGGAAGACACATCTCTATCCTGCACATGACACCATTAAATCGACCTTTGTACTATCTAATTCGAAGCAACATTTATGTTACCATGTAATTCACATGTTTATTGATATTTTTTGCCTCTTTAGCAAGTTTTTCATTCACTCTTACATATGAAGTTATATGTAACTATATATCATTTGAGGCGTGAGAGTGAAAACCTGGAACCTATCATAGTAAATCATTATATGCAGCTCCAGGTTTTTACTCTCACGCACTCATTATGATATCTGACACGTGCGAATTCACGTGATTATGTACGTGTCTGTAGACTTGACGGGATGTATTTATGTAAGGTTTAAACATATCGATATTTTTAAATTTAAATTAATAACGATAAAATCTTTTTCATTGACATCTCTACGTAGTATATGAATGATCAACAACTTAAAGGAGGTTATTATAATGAACATTACGTCATTAATGTTACGAATGTGGTCAGAGTGGCACGCTGCGGTACACACTTGTGGATCCCTGGTCATGAGATATAATTGGTGTTATAACAGATAATTAGTACGTACGTACGTATGTTTATCATAATCGGATCGGAGTTATCCGTCTCGCAGGTAAATTTGCTTGGTAGATCTGCGATGATAGCAGGAAGTATTACAGTATTATTCCATACCTTTTAATTTGTTCCACACGGAATATGAAAATAACCCATGATCCGTTATTTTTAGTAGAAGCTCTTAATAATTTTTCATAAGTTCTGAACAATTAGAAATTTTGTTCTTTTCTTTCCTTTTTTTTTTTTTTCTTAAACTATATCGAGCTGCAGAACCTAATACCTAATACAGAATATAAACGTTCTTAATTTATTTGGTGTTACAGGATTTTTTAAATTCGAATGAAGAATAAGAAATATTGAAGTTAGATACCTTATAATGGCAAGTAATTAAAATTTGTATGTGCAATAAAAAGAGGCACTAAATTGTAACCTGAATATCACGCAATATTATACTATCCACTTATCATGCTGAATATTTGCATTATCATGAGTAGTTCTGCAGGTATCAGCAAGTACTGTGGTGCCAGCCACAGATACGGGCATTATATTTTAACAGTACCGTGCTTGGCAGTACAAAATGTACCTACATACGCATATAAATTATTTAGATTTCATTACCTTTTTTAAGCTACTCATTCTAGAATCATTGGATAAAATTTTTTGACGCGGAGAATAATTATCCGATAATCTCCATTAACTTATCTAATTAGTAATAAATATAACTGATAAATGACGATCCAAACAAGAATCGTCGATTCTGCCCTTAATTGTTGTTGAAAATAACGTCATCACTGTTACTCAAAATGAATATCGACTTTATTTCGTACGATACGTGAAAAAGATTGGCATATTGGAAAAATTAGCAAATGGGGCAATTTTTTTTGAAATATTGGTTATAAATAAATTATTGGCTTAAAATAAATTAAAATGCTAAATAGACTGGAGTAGGTAAATTTCCCAATGAAGCAGTGGAGTGGAGCAGACAACAAAAATTTCCTTTTTTTTTTTTTTTGCGTAATATACGTACGATGTGCACGTAATTTAAGTTAGCGCGTACGTACGTGCGATGTGACGTAATATATCAGATACATCTATATGTATTTGTTAAAGTTCGTGTTGGTTATGTAGTTAAATATGTATAATTAATTATTTTTGTATACGAACCAAAACGAATGTTTTTTTACATTACTGATTAAAAATCTACAAATTACAATTTACATCAAACAATATGCTAAAAAGGCTTTTGATTCATGTTCAAAAATAACCTTGATATAGAGATAAATAACATCACGTGAATTTGTATTACGAATAACGGTTATGATACATTTGAATCCATGAAGTTTTTATATTTCTGTATTTGTTATTAAGCGAAAATGGAAATTGTCATTTGTATATGTTTTTCCGCTAACGGGTACATCGCATATATGTTTTTCCGCCAACCAGCAACGTTATATGTACATTTTTCCGCCAACAGGCAACTTCAATTACTTCAATTGTATGTTTTTCCGCCAAGACAATTGAGATAACTATAGATTACGGTTAGCACGTAATTCCATATCTATATTATTTTTTTAGAAAAAAAAAAACAAACACAACTATTGAAATTCCCAATCAATGTACATATTTTATTATATTTTAGCTTACTTTATTGTTCATAATTAATTTGTATTACATAATTGTCCCCCGACAATTTTCTACTATCTTTATTCATATAAAAAAAGGTAAATTTTCTATATTTATCTATAGTTATAAATTTTCAATCGATAAGTACTTTAATCCAACACAGCTCTGTTAAATTGTCAAAATTGTCCGAATTTAAATTTTCCGATTTATTTACTTTATTTATAGATATATATATATATATATAACATTTGAACCCGCTTAATCCCGATTTATACAATGTCCATCAATCTAAATATATATTATTATTATTTTTAAAGATTCTTATCGCATATACTGTATTTAATATATGCGATTTTTTTTTTCTTTTTAATTCTTCATAATACAACTTAATTACTTATTCGCTTAAAATTTTTCAACTATTTTTCACATAAAATAAATATATATATATATACATAAACTAGCATATAGCTAGCATATAACTAGCATATAATCATGCAAATTATGAACGAAATGTTTATTTAAAGGTAAAACGACGAATTATTATTGGATTCTTCGGTTAAACCTAGCGGTAAATTTCCAGGTTGAAACCATAATGGATTATTCGAATTAATCTCATTATTATAATTGATACATGTATTTGTGTCTATCTCAAAAATATTTTGATTAATTGTTTCGTCATAATTAAAAAAATCGTTATGTATTATATGCGGTGGATAAGATTCGTTAATTTCTCCAATCTCATTAAAATCGTTAAATTCATTAATTTCTGGAGAGAAACTATTACTCGTCGATAACTCCGGACTAGACCAAGTTTGCGGATTTATTAGATCTTCACTAGCCCAAGTCTGTTGTAAATCGATAGCGCTTGCTGCAGCATAAAGTTCGAGTGCGTTTAACGCGTTTAATGGAATATTAAACGGAAAAGGATTTATTTCGTTATCTTGAGTTAGATTATTAAAGATGATATGATCATTAAAACGATCATTATTATCAATATGATTATCATCTGTCGGATTGAATACATCCTTCTCTGGTAACATCGGTGACGAAAATAATGGTGATTGATTTGACGTAGAAGAATCTGTATCGTTATGAGATTCTTGTTCATCTGACGTTGATTTAAAAGAAACAATATTCCATTGTTGTCTTTTTTTTCTTCGATCGGTTTTGGGAAACATTTCACTGCGATATTTGTATGCTTCTTTAGCAAGGCGTTTATAATATTTTTTAACATAATCTGCTTCATTCTCCCATGATTTAGATGCTGTCTTCGATATTTCCGTCATTTGTAAATTATATCCGTTTGCTCTCGCTGTCTGAACGAATAATTTTCGATAAATAATGAATGCATTTGGTGATCTTCGTGGTTTTTTACCATCAATTGGTTTCAAGATCAAGTCTTTAGCTTCAATAGAAGGTGGAAACTTCATCTTGATATCGTTTGGATCTTTGTTCGTAGGTGCTGCTTTCTTAACCACCGTTGAGTCAACAAATACATGTTCATCGGCTACTTGTGCATTCATTTTTTTATATAATTGTTTTTCAATCTTTTTTTTCTTCGAGTAGATTTATTCATGCACATATTTATATTTGATTAAAACTGCGCCGTTAAAAATGATTATACAATTTTTAAATTAATATTATTAATCTTTCTGCGAATCTTTGTGTAACTGTAGATCTGTTCTAAATATAAAAATAATGATGCAATGTGCGGAAAAAGATTGATCCGCTGAAGATCCAAATGTATCGAAAAAATTTATACAGTTATTACAGTATATTGTTTTTAAATTAAACTATAAATATTATATTTATTATTTGTATATATTTATATTACAGTATTAAAATTTAATGTATA